GGGCGAGACACCCCCTTCCGTGCGTCTCTAAACGAGCGGCTTTGCCGTACCGCCCCACTCCTCTTTCCGAAAGCGTAATTACCGATCCCCTCGGCTGCCAGAAGACATTCAGCTAACTACCGCAGATAAAAATACTTTTTTTTTTTTTTGCTTTGTAATGCAACTGTCACAAGATAACAGCCCACTTGCACAGAACGCGGAGCTGCTACAATTAATAGAATAAGATGTGCTAATGATGTCCTCAGATTTATTTCAATGAGCGATGGCCTAATTAGAGTCCATTATTCCAAAAATACTCCTACTGCATCTTATTTGATGGTAATTAGTTCTTCAGCTTTTTTTAAACAACACCACAGTACATTTGTCTTTCAATAGTATAATAGAAGGGGTGGGGTTTTTTTTTTTAGATGTTTGCGTTTATGTCTCTCCTTTTAATTGGTCAATTTGCCTGCAATAACATGTAATTTAATAAAACCATCTTTAAGTGCGTTTCATAATGAATTTCAGGTGTGTTTGTTCAACTGGTTTTGCATCCTAATTCAATTTCTAGATAAATGTTAGGAAAATTCCCATCAGACAAAATTTTGCTAGTAAATTTATGCTGGATTTTCATTCTAACCAAAGTAATAAGCGCTTAAAGAGAGGAAAAAGTGGGGGCAAAATTACCACGGGGAATGCTCAAGAGAAAAGGCAGGAGGCAGAGAGTCCAGGAACATAGTACATAGGAACGATATCCTCAGGGCATGGACCCCTTGCTTAACCTGGAAATTTGCTTCCCTGCTTACAGCCACAGAGCTTAGGGAGGCTAGTGATTGGGTCTGAGGGGTTAACACAGGGCTATTCACTAAAGAGCAGATCCTCAAGTCATGAGGTTTAGTTCTACCAAATCAGTGCAATAACAATGGACAGAGAGGCTATTCTGAAAGCCACAAATTAAGTTTAATGCTTTCAAAATAGGACAGTTAATATCAGCTGCAGATTTGTCATACAGGCCTTTCAAGACAGTAAATGGACTATTTCATCTGTGAACATTCCACATATTTTGAAAAAGGATTTTATTGATGTATGGCTGTTGCAGCACACTGGTATGAACAGCATGCGTTTTGAGAACAAGAGAGCTAAAAAGCTCTATACAACAGAAGCTGTCAGAGCCACTAACCTAGTAGTAGTGTGCTATCAAACAGCCACCCTCTTTGCAGCAAGGCTGGAAGAATATAAACAACACAAAACCACTAGATTAAAAGCATACTTGGTGCGGGTGGATATTAATTTCAAAATGAAACCAAAGTCACAGAACAGCTACGGCCGTGCAGAGTGGCATAAGCTTTGGGTTGACACCTATTAGCAAGGCACAACAAAAGTTATTCCAAATGAATCACTCCCAAAGAGAGTAAATACTTCCTTCGTGATGACTGAGCACGTCTTTCATCAGCAGGTACGGTAAGTCTTGTAAAAGGTGGAAGTCCTTTCACAGCGTTAACCGAGCCAGCCTCATACTGCAAATGGCCAACGAGATAGACCCAAACAACCTGTCTTCAGATTGCTTTGGCATCAGGACCCCAGAGTTGCATCTCAATTTTTCAAATGCCTGTTTAGTGCTTCAGAAAAATAAAGCCTTCATTTTTAGTATTCACAGTATTTGTAACTGAAAATCAGATCTCAGCTTTGCGACTCAGGCTTCTCCACTCCATATTTTCTGTCTACTGGAAATTTTGTGCGACACTTGCATAAAACTGGGAACACCACTAGCAGAAATACATCCTTATGCAGAGCTTTTCAGACACTTTCCTGAACAGAAGAGTATTATTTAATTTTTCACCAGCCCTCAACCCTACATAATGATTCATATATTTAATTGTAATCATATACAACACAGACAAAGTCCAAGAAACAGACCACAGACATTTTTATTAAACAGTTTACATAATTTATCTAGATTAACATTGTTATATCTTTGCCCTTACACAAATTCAGTTTTTGGTTATTTTTCCTTACAAAGTTTCTTTTAGCTACAGAAATAATTCACCACAACTAAGAGACCCATGAAGATACTGCTGGTACTACCAGAAAATACGTTTCTGAGCCTCCAATCATCACTTTTAAATTCTATATCCTGAAAACTAGCTTTGCCTGAAACACTTAAGACAATTCAAAAATGTTCACTATTAGAGAATAAAAGCATTTCACATCAGCACTTCCAAATATACATCACTGACATGGCCAAAGATTCCCTGTATTTAAAAAGTTGTAAGTTTCCATTCTTCTTTATCAGATGAGTCTTTTTTTTCTTTTAATATTAAAGCAGTTTCTGCCTTTTTTGCCAACAGAGCAGTGCACACAGCCACAGCCCTCAGCTATATATTGTAATAACTTCTTTGATTGTTCCCATAATAATTCCACGGTCCATGCAAGCAAAGCATTACGAAACTCTTCACCCCAGCCATCCATTTTAAAAATCTAGAACAGAACCCACCTTTCTGAATTATCAAAACAGTCAAACAATTTGTCAGAACAAGATCTAAGACATCTTTAAAACAGTGTCAAATTTAAGAAATATTTAGAAGTATTTATTGTCAAGGTGAAGTATTCCCACTGTTGTCCTCAGGATGAGGAGCAGCTGATAAGGGTCTGCAAAAGGTCCTAACTATAGCCGTCTGAAACCAGGTGCACTGATTTTCAGTATTTTTCAGTAATAAACTTTGTGCTCTCAGGGGGTGTTACATTAACCGTGCTGGAAAATTGCAGACCAAATTCAGCAGCACTCTGAAGCACAGCCCTAATTTTGTGTCAGTGGAACATAAAAATGTTCTAGCATGTTTCATTGAATCACAACCTAAATCCTCTGTTTTTTCCCCAGAAGTGGTTTGCTGCAGTTAGCTGGGGAGCAGCTTGATCTATATCACTCGGCTGGTGTCGTTCAACCTGAACTTTAAGAGATCGCTTCCAAGGGGAAGGGAATTTCATTCTCGGTGCTCCTCCCTTTTCCTTTCTTCATGTTCTTAAACTCAGCTGAGGATACAAAGACAACGTTGTTATGGGCTGCTTATAAGGTCTGACACCTCCACCAGAAACTGAGTGAAAACACTCAAATAACTCTTTTCATGCACCCCACCAGGCAGACATCAACAGTTGTGGGTTTGGTAAACTTTTCTTGATATGTTTGTATATCACTAGGCCAAATAAAGACAGGCTCGTACACGGAGCTGTCCACAGCCCTACAATTCTAGATCAAAGACACTAACATCAGCTGGATTAGGCCTACTTTCAGGGGTCAGTTCTGAAATTGCAAAAAATTACTATGACAGTTTTCATATTATTTTATGATAAAATATTCACGCCAATTGAGTGAAACTGAAAGACTGCTGAACGTTGCTTGCAATGGTAGCATGTTTGTGTGTTCAACTTGTGCTTCTTCGGGGGGCTATCTTCTCGTTAATCCAGTTTACATAGTTGGTCACTCGCGTATATACTCCAGGTCTGTCGACTCTGCCGCAGCCATCTCCCCAGCTGATAACTCCATACAGGTAAGAGATTTCATTTTTATCACAGGCCAGAGGTCCACCAGAATCTCCCTGTGTTAAAAATAAGGAAAGATTATCTAATTTGACAGAAAATAATTGGAAAAAGAGCAGTCAGAGAAAGTCCCAAAGGGAGACTCGCTGGAAAAGATAACTTATGTTTCTGACTTCTACAATGAGATTTCTGATGCAAAAACTTTAACCTTCTTGTAACCATGCATTAAATGGAGTTACAGGTATGATTAAAAAAAAATTCAATAAGAGCAATTTCTAAAATCAAACTTCAGTAGGCTAGTGCTTCCATATTCACTTTTTTAGTCCAAATCTCATATGCAAACATTCTGAATTACGATGGCGGATTCTTTTATTCCACATTAAACACAGGTATCAAAATACCAGATTTTGCCAAAGACACTTTTTGAAACACTCTTAGAATCAGATGCTTACTGAAGAGCATGGATGACTTGGCTCAGTTTCAATGGGAGTCAGTCAGTCCTTAGGGCTAACACTTTAAATTGTAATATAGATGGATTACATAAGGCAGAGAATATTTGAAGAGTTTCTCAGTGTATTGAAACCCTCAGAGATCACAAAAGTGTTCAGAGAGCTGTTGCATACACACACACATACACTTTTCCATGGAACTGTGTGATGCTGCAATTTTACCTGGCTTGCGCCCACCGGCATGTGTTGAATGCGATGCTACTGAGCATTTAGCATGCCATTGAAATCATAAACCAAATTGTTTGAGACTAAGGAGAAATATCTATTTTCTATTTAAAAAGAAATTCCTTTGAGAGCAAAGCAGGAAGAAAAATTGTGTTGCCTTGTATTAGGAGATTTCTCTGACAAATGAGGAACATCAGATGCAGTCTTGTCTCTGAGATTAATTTACTTCTCAGGACCTTGCTTATTACTCCACATCTCAGAAGTTCTACTGATTGCAATTTCTGTATCAATTCACTGATTTAAAAAAAGAGTTACCAAGAAAAATCTTTTAAAATAATCAAGCAGAACACATTGTCTACTTGGTATTTATTGGTCTTGAAATATTTGTATACATATCACATGGTTTATAGATTAATTTCCTGAGCATACATTAAGAAAATTCAAAGGTCAGCTACATTTGTTGTGACATTAAGAGGTCTACGCTATTGCTATTTAGACCACACTACAAGTCTGCTGTCAAGGAAAAAAATTAATTATTGATTCACTAATAATGATTTCAGGTCATGAGCACTGTATTGCAGCAACATCTCTGACTCTAAATCAGTGTTTCTCAGACTTTGCAGCTCTCTTTAGACCTTTTGTCTTTGTGCAGCTCCTCTCTCCTTCATTCCCTCGTTCTTTACCTTCTTTCTCCCTCCTTTGTTCCTGAGCAGCTCTGTTTCTCCAGGGCGGGGAGTGAGAACAGAGCTATAACACTGAATACTTGTATTACTTCCTGGGCAAAGTAATGAAAACTGAGCAAGCAAGGTAGTTCACAGTTCTCTAGCTAGTAGGAACTCTTGGAGCCAATAACCACAACCAGCTCTCATCTTGGCATGGAAACCCTGAGCCACTGCTGGCTGCTACCATTTCACCTTTCTTGGGACACTCATGATCTCTATGGGGCTCCAGCGCACAGTACACATTATATTCTTTACTTAATCCCACTGCCAAATATTAAACATGTGCTGGCTGTTCCCCAAATTAGTGCTAAAGGAGTGCAACCGATACCAACTAAAGATACAATCAAAAGTTTATCCAAGTAACAGCCTGGTCCTTAGTTTAAAAAGCAGTCTAATCTATCGCCACAGCAGCTCTGTCGCCTCATTCAGAGCTGGAGTGTGACACAACTCAAGAAGAATTGCAAAGCGGTAAGAAGACGAGGTTGTTCCATGAAGGGTGGGAGTCGTGAAATACAGTTTCCAACAGGCTGATACTCTACACTGTTAGAATCCGTCCACTATAATAACCTCGGTTCCTTCCCCCTCCAAGCCCCACCACTGCTCCACACCTCCCACCCAGGTGTCCTTATTTCCACGCAGGCAAGGGGCAGCAGCTACTGGCGCTGGCTCTGCAAGAGCTGCCAGCTGGCCACTGGAGCACTGCCATCACATTGCAATCTCCCAGCCACAAGCTAAGGCAACTCATCCATTGCATAGCTGGTTTTTATGAAGCTAGGAGGGATTTAATGCCTTGGAGGTTTTTGCTTCTCTGAGGAACTTAGTTGACAGTGAGCGGGTTAAAAAATTACCATGGAAGCAAACGCTATGGACACATCCGTTTCACTTCTTTAGGAAATTGGGCTAAGCAATTAGATGTCACAGTAATGTCAAAAGGAAGTATTGTAACGCTGCAGTATATCTTATGATAATACACATATGAGTCAGCTCCAGGCAGCGAATTCACATTACCTGGCAAGCATCAGACTTGCTATCAAAGTATCCAGCACAGAACATATTTTCACTGATTTCTGTTCCATAAACTTCAGGGCTTCTGCACTTCTCCTCAGGAATAATTGGTATCAGTGTTTCTTGCAGAACATCTGAATAACCAGACACATCTTTAAAAAATTCCCAGAGAGAAAAAAAAAGAAGTCATTTTCTTAGAACGTGAAGAGCGTAACATGGACATACAATGCAAAATACAACATACAAACATGCTTAACATCTCAGTGATGTTCATGTTGTGGATCTCTTCAGAAGATATTAGTTATTCTAAATGATCAGATCACTTTCTGCTTCTCCAGTCAGATTCCATGCCCTTTAAAATAGCACCATTTCCTATCCAGGCTTTAATCCACTTCAGGTTCTCTCATTTCCTAGAGATTCAGGAACACTCCCTCAGCAGTCCTGTTTTAGCCCTTCAGTCCACTCCTCTTTCCAGATGTGATATTTCATCATAATCTAATCAAAAGCTCCATTACCTTTTGTTACTTTTAGATCGCACAGTTAGATCAGGACTGTATTTGCTCTTGCTAAACCTCTTACCAATGAGGCAGCAAGCTTCTCCATCGTCCTTGCCTGTCTACACAGGTCCCTGCAGTCCCCACATCAAAGCAGCATGGTCAAGCCTTGCAGTCTTGAAATTCCCCATCTCACCGGGTGAGAAGCAGTATTTCCTTCTTTTCACCTTTCTCAAGCTGGACATTGCACTGTTTAGCCCCAGGTCTCACTGCCCCCCCCCCTTCAATAGGTGTTTCCAGTTTCCTGCCTGGTGAAGGTAAAGATCTCCTCTGTCCCACACTTTTGTTTAAATTGACAGTGGTTAGTTTATGTTCATTCCTATCCACCTTGAGAAACCAGGGGTGGGATTCAGCTGACTCAATGCAGGTACGGACGGTGTTGGTACCTACAGCTAAGCTGCTTGCTGTGGGCTCCCCTTGCACTCCACAGAGACCTAATGAGTTGTCAACTCATCTCATCCTAAAATAGATGCAAACATTTGGTCAAATGAACCACACTCCAAACTCCAGCAACTATTAAGGATGTTCAGAATGACTGTTTCAGATGTTATATTGTAAACATCTAAAGGCAGGTAAAATGAATCCCACCAGAAGTCCCTTTGAAAGTATTTTCTGAAACCATAAATTGTATAACATATCCTTGAGCATTATGTTTTGATTATCATCATTTTTTTCCCCAGACACTGACTCTGTCATTTAACTTACTTTCATGCCTGTGTCCCCATCCAGAAATCTGACATTTGTACTGATCAGGGAAAACGGTGTTACTTTCCGGTAAGCAGATCGGTTGGACAAACTGGGACTTGACGGCACAACGCTGGCCATTCTTCTTCAGCTTAATCAAAACTGCAGAACAGAAAATAGAGGAGAAATAAAGCGACTGTTCTCTTTTTTTAATGGGATTGGCAGCAATGGGTCTCAAATACAACTTTAATTATCCCCTAAGCTTCTCTTAATTAAGATATTTCAATCAAAGACAGACAGACTCATCTCAACAGCACCTGATTTCACAGTAAATTGAAGGCTGAAACATTCAGCTCCTCCTCTTGAGGGAATATTTGTTTTATGCTGCACTCACTGAGTAGATTTTGCTTCACTGCCTTTGCAGAGAAGGGGGAAGATGGAGAATATGTATGCCTCCTCCCACGTTAAAGTTAAATAACAGTGACAAATCCACAACTTCAGCTGAAACCAGTGGGATGTGTAAGTGCTCACTGTTTCTGAAAGTCTGGCCACATGCCTAATTCCAGTTTGATTAAAAAATATAATTACTGAAAGAGCTGACGTAATTCAAACTCCTTGCTATCACTGAGTTCAGCAAAATTGAAGTTTTCAAAAACTAAGGAATGAAAAATTAGGGTATTTCAAACCACGCTTCAGAACATGAGAGAAAACTATGCTACCTCCTCAACCTTTACTCTGCCCTCACAGGGCTAAAAACAGCAAAATTTCTGGACCAGTCCTGACTGGTCAAGGGATTATTTGAACCATTTTAGCAGAGCTTTGCTTGTTTTATGAGAGGATTTCAGTGAGCTGGGTCTCTCTGGGTGATGTAGTGCTTGTCCTGAACCTGCATGTGTGACCGTTGCACCTCACTGCGCTGGGGGAAGGATGGGTCAGTGGTCAGGCAAGCTTGTGAGGAGGGAGGTGCACATAGTCTAACAAGTGTAAATACAGAGTTATATGGCATCATGAGCTTGATCCTGAAGGGAGACAACAAAAGTAGCAGAAATGCTGGTCCTCTGTAGAGAACTGCCTGTGTTTGGCAGCAGAGCACATGAGGGGACTTTGTGTTTGGTGTAGCAAGGCCAGTTGTCTGGTTTGGGCACACCACTCAGAGGTGGCCGAGCTGAGACAACGTGGGCACGTACATTAGCACTTTGTATCATGGCTTTCAGAAGCTGGAGGTTTTCTGAGCACAGTTGTGTGGAAAGCAAGAGATCCCACTGGATAATCTTATTTCTCTACTGGCAAGGTTCTTTGTTTTTTGTGGTACATGTAAACAGTATCTCACAAAGTGAGGAGCCAACACAAAGTGCACTTCAGCACTCAACAGCTTGCTCTTCCTCGCCTTCTCTTCCCCGCCAACTCTGCCCACTTCCAAGTCCTCTTTACTTCCCAGCAAACACTCATGTGGTGGTTTGTTTCTTTTTGAAATAGAGTTTCAGCACCAAACAAATCTTCTGTTGCATCGGTAGAAGTCACTGACCGGGCAAAATATGCCCCCACATTTTATTTTCCTCCAGATTTCTGCCTGTGATCAGGCTTTTGTTTTCAATGGAGCTTGTCTTAGGATCTCCATCTTCAACCAGCCCCAGACTTGGACACTGCATATCTGTGAGACATGCCACATTTCAGAGCAATCAAAAGATTTAGGGGATCTCAAAGTGCCAACTTGGATTTACCTCAGGCTAGTTCAGAGCAAAGTAGTGCCTCAAATCAAGTTCAATTCGTACTACTATGACAGAGCTCCCACCATCACATCATCTGAATGCATTTTGCTATACAGTTGGAAATATTCACCATCCAGGAGCAAAAAAGCCAGCACATTCCTAAGCTAAGATATCCCTATACAGCTCATAGACAAAGTGCTCACACAGCTTGATACCCCAGGGAGACATGCCAGCTTCCATAAGAGCAGATCAAGAAAAAACGAAGTGAGTTTCTCATCTTTTGTCATTCTGACTAATGTTATAAGGTCAATCAGAAGGGCATTTAACTTTTGACTGATAAGGCAGCTGATTTTTAAATCTCTCTTTAGTGTAAAAAATGATTCTTAGTAACCTAGCTTTTTGGAGCAGATGGGGCTATTATATTCATCTAGTCAGATCCTCTATACAATGCAGACAATAGAATTTTTCCAAGTAATTCCTGCATCAAGCCCACAGTTTTTGGTTCAGTGGAAAAAGACGCCCAATCATACAAAGGCTTGAAGTGATGATGAATGTGCCATACATCTAGGTAAATTGCTCCAGTGGCTAATTACCATAATTATTTAAAATTTGCAATTTATTTCTCATCTGAATTTGTCTAGCTTTCAGATGCTGTTATAATTCTCGTAGAACCCTCTGCTATCAAAAGCCCCTCTTAATGTCTCTGATTTTTCCACTGTGAAGGCAGAACAACTGAAATAAATAAACTAAGTCCGCTAAACAGAATATAATATTGTAAGAACAAAAACACTTACCAATATCATGTTCAGTAGGGTTGAACACCGAATACTGAGGATGCAAGATATATTTCTCTATTTCAAATGTTTGTGTTACATCAGTCGTTCTATTAAATATATGCTGACCCAAAACTACTGTAATAGTGGACTTTGGTGGACTGAAACACAAAAGAAAGAACAAGCAGTTCTGTAATTAACAGGACAAGTAAAATCTAATTTCTAGTGGCTGTGTGTCCCGTGAACTGTAATAACCTCAGCTTCCCACCACATCCGTTATATTACCCTCTCAAAATACCTATCTGTCTCCTAGGGTCCCTACCTACTGCTGGTGGGGAAAAAGAGGACTAGTCTTATAAGGACACCCAGACTCTGTGGGTCCTGATTAACCTGATTAAAGGCTGCAGCTCCTTGACAGAAAGAAAAGGCAAACCAAATATACCACTGCCCAGCTACTGGCAGTCCAACAAACTGCAGTAGGGGTTGCAGGCATCCTTGTACCAGAAACTTAATTACCTCTCTGCCAATCTTGACCAGACTTTGCCAATGAGTATAAACAATGAGGAAGAAATGAGAGACCAGAAAACTAGTCAGTGGCAAATTTCTCTAGGAAACTAGGCTTTTAAAGATATTACAGGCATGGGTCAAGATTTTAGAGGTGCTGGCAAATCAACAACTCGGGAAGATCTGGGCAGCGTTCACCTAATAGCTTTCACCACTTTGGCGCCGAGATTAAATCGATCCGTGTTACGTCTGCTGTCTAGAATCACAAAACACTCAGTGGAAAAAGGTCTCAACAGCACACTGATCTGATGGGAAAAACCACATTCAGAGGAGATTTCGGTTTTTGTAATTCACACCATCTTTCTCAGTTATCAACTGCTTACTTTAAAAAAACCACAGTACTCTTATATCCAATGTCCAAGGATGGACAACTAATAGGAACCAGTACAACAGTTGGGAAGAAAGGGAAATTTCAAAAGAATCAGGAAGTGTTTGGAAAAGTAGTAAACTCTCCAGCTTTGAAAATGATGGAGTTCAAACTTTGCTCTTGCTTTAAAACCAATTTGATCGGCACGTGCCTAAGTCTACAATGAACTTAGTTTGCAGGTGTCGTCAACATCAGAAAACTCCTATGTTTTATTATCCAGTGCAGGAGTAGGAAATATCTGCTGTCATACATCATTAACGGACACAGAGTGATCAACACTACTAAGTTTTCCTAGTCGTCTCTGTGTTTGTGCTCATTGCCATTGCCTGTCAGATACAAATACACAACGGCTAGTTTACCTAGATGAAAAATTCTGACTAACTGCAGTGCACAGAGAAGGCAGCTCTCCTACAACAGCAACTACGCTTATGATTAACAAAGGAAAGCTCAAAGTTTACTTCTTTTTAATGACTGGGAAAATAGAAGACAATAAAAGATTCTTCAATGAACATGTAAGGCCAGGATTTTCTCCGTGTCCTTACAATGTAAGCCGACCCCTTTGAAAATCAGATTTGGGGCCTGTAAAACAAAGTGGAAGTTTCCTTCTGGGACAGTACTTAGAATAAAGGTACTAAATGGTTCTACTATGACTATCTATGAATCAATGGTGATTTATTCAGGAAAAGAGGGGGGGAAAAAGGGAGGGGTTACAAAAAACAAAGAACACAAAAAGTTAGCTGCACAGGTATCTATTGTCGCCTAGCGGAAAACTGTTGAAACTGTGGCTAACTCAGAGGTACTACCCATACAGAAGAACGCAAATTACAGTGCAGCAATTATGGAAAATCTGTATGTATGAAACCACCAGCTGGAAGTGGGTGGAAATGTCCTGAACAGCTGCCAAAGTTAGTAGCTATTTCACAACATTTAAACAACAAATGCATTGTGGCTCGAGCTCCAAATGCCTGAGTACAGCATTCACAGCGGTATTATTAGCTCTACAAGCTATCAGTGTATGTATTCTGGCATGAGGTTTTCTGTTTCTCTTGGCTTCTTCACGATGCAAAGGAACAATGGGTGTGAAATGATGTAATATTTTTCCCATCACTGTGATCAAACTGAAATCAGGAAAAGTATTCAGCATTTGTGGAAAAATAAATATTTCGAATAAAATAAGAGCTATAGCCAACATTTTCTCCAGTGTCCTACAGCTGGAAGAAAAAAAAATCTTTCAAGGAAATTTGCCTCCGAAATCCCACCAAAATTCAACAGTGGTTCAATTCTACCCTTTGGCTCTTGGAAAAGCTCAGCCCACTCTATTTTTGTCAGCCAACAGTAATTTATTGCCTCTAATAAACCATTGCTTGGCTGTTTCAGCCTTTTTGAATAACACACAGCAACGAGAGTAGTCATCTTTGTTATACCTCAGAGCAGGCATCACACAGCAACGAGAGTAGTTATCTTTGTTATACCTCAGAGCAGGCATAAACATGCAACCAGGTAACTGAAAAGAAGCTAAATACTTTTACCCCTCCCTAGATACTTATGTGTGCAAGCTCCTGTTCTACATCCTGCCATTCTTAGACCCAGCACTACCTTATTCTTTTCATCAGGTCACTTAGCTTCTTTAAGACTACTTAAGGAACAAGATAAAAGCTAGCGGGAGAACAGGTCTCCAAGGTATTTGTCAGCTCACGAATTGCACTCAAATTGCCCATATCTGCTTTAAAACATTGGCCTTCTATAATCTCATCTTCTTTTTTGTGGTTGCAATTCAGGCTTGTTGTGATTCACAAGCAGGCTGTGACTATGAGGAGGGGACCTACTGTCATACTAATAGATGAGTTTACCTGTTAGCAAAGCAATGTGCTGCTGAGACCACCCAGCAAGTCTGAATAAGGCTTCCAGCACAGAAACTCTCTCCAATATATATAGCTGCTGTCCAGGGATGAGATCCAGGCAAAGATGAAGATCCCCCAACAATCCTGGGTCTTACAAAACTTCTTTTTTTGTGTCTTCTCCCACATGGTCTTCTGGCAATTGCAAAAGTATCCACAGTATCTGGAGCTGGTGGCCTCCTTTCCTTGCTTGCTGAAATATAAAGAGATACGGTATCAGACTATAAATCCTAGTGATTTCTAAGGACTGGAACTTCCATAGGAGTCTTTCAAATAAAGACTCATTAGATTATCATTAAATGTTCACATGCAACTGAATCTCACTCAGGAGAGTGGCGAGATTGAAACCTATATCTCTGCCAAACACTTTGGCTAGACATATATTAGTACAAATTAAATGCGCCTGGGATGTATAACTGTTTCATTAACCAGTACAGATATAACCTTTATTACTGGCAGAGACACAATGCACAACACAGCACATCTTCATTTTCATATACTGGTCTGAGCTTTGTCATTCTAATGGCAAGGACAAATATTAATGTCATAATCACATGTGTTAATGTCATAAATCACATGTATTTGAATCATAAGTGTGGAATAAAAGGACTGCTTTATACAATGACTTTTCAGATTATGACTGTTCTAAAGGCCTGCTTTAACATTAACAACAGTTAAATATTGATCAAGGTGAAGAGCAGACCTCTTTAGTTTTTGGAATTAATACACTTGACGTCGTATGCCGTCAGGATGCAGTCCTCTGTTTACTCACAGAGGCCCGTTCCCTCCTCTGAGCCTACTTCCCTGAGTAAGGACAATTTGTATCAAAGCATCATTCATTTCTGAAGTCTTACATGTTCTAGCAGAAATTCTGGTGCTCTTGGGATGACTGTGGTCACTAAACTGTGAAAGGGGTAGTGTGACACTGCTGTATTGTAGGAAAAAAAAATCTCATGTTGTATCATGACTCCAAAAAATGCAAAAGCAGCTTGTTGTGGTCATTTGATTTACTGCAAACAGTAAAATATTTAACATTCTGGGAACAGTAGAATATTCAAAATTGCACAGTGAAAACTTGTTTTCGTATCAATAAATCTTCTCCATTAATTTATAACAGGGATTTTAAGACAACCTTTACATACCACAAGATTGAACGTTACAATATTCCCAAGACAAACTGTTGTCCTTCATGATGTAACACCATGGTTTCTCATCATCATCTGGATTTCTAATTAATTCAAGGGGAGAATGAATTACAAAGCATTAACCACAATGTTGTTCCACACTTCCTAGATGTTTTCTGCTATTTCTCTTGCACCATGCAGAGGACTGAGAGGACAGCCAAGCGCTGAGCCATCCGAACCTGACCTAACAAAGCTGCCCCGAATAGCCTCTCAGTAGGGTTACTCATGCTTACAGCTAAGCTGGTTGAGCATATACTCAGAGGCCAGATTTCTAAGGTTCTTCAGGACCCAAAATGCAGGCACATGATTCAATGCCAATAAAATTTTCCTGCAAGTATTTGGATGCATGAGCCTGTTCACATGGTTTAACTGCAGCCCACACTGAAGTACTTTAGCAGATTTCAGCTCAGCTATTTTCAGGACTAAATCCCATGGGAGTGATTCCTTTTTGAGCTGAATTTTTTAAGTGAGGAAATTCCAACACAGGTAGAATCATTAAAAAAATCCGTAACAAGAATAACTAGCGAAAAAGAAGATGCTCAGGTTCACATTCCCTGGAGAGTCTGTGGAAACACAAGACAACCTAAAGAAAATATTACATTCCTCAAAAGCATTTTAAGAGAGAAAAAAAAATCAATTTAGCCCTTTTTTACTTTTGTGTGAAATGGGTCTTTTCACTTGATTCTACTAGGTTTCTCCATGACACAGCAAAACTGTCTTTGCCAGTGCTGCATAAGTAACCAGAAATTTGCCCAGTTTACTCATTCAAGAACACAGGGAAACTTTGACGACTGAGAAAGATCTTCAGAATAACCAAAAAAAAAAAACAGACAAGGTAATTCAGGGCTCCAGATAAAGAGTATTCTAATTTCAATTGGACTTATCAGAAACAGTATCTATTATTTTAAGATTCTTCACTTTTTTTTTCCTTTTCAATCTGATTGCTCTTCAGAAAAAGATTAAAGCACTTTCACATTTTCAGAACTGAAGCAGCAATACAGGTTGAGTCATCTTCCACCAACAATGTTTCTAAATTAGACTATTTGAAGAAGGAGATATCTGCAGGATTATATAGTATAGCAGAGATATCCCCAGAAAGTGACAAAAGTGAAAAGCTTTTTTCTCAGCTCTACAGAATATGATAACATCAGCTCCTACACCATTTTATTCTTTGCATTTCAAATCTGCAAGGGAATACTGCACTGAAATGATACAAACCGAAGGGATCTGTATTTATCAGAGCGCTAAGTATGTGCCCAATAAATTGCCATGCTGTACAGGGATACTGTAAATCTCCTACTTCAGCGCTTGAATCAGGACCAAGCTTTGGAAAGCAAGCCAGTCTGCGTTAAGGGAGGGTATAGGGAACTGTTCTTTAGCTTCTTTTAGATCACAGAGAAGAAGGGGTACTTTGAGCGCTCATGCTTTTCATCACCAGACAAATTAGGGAGTACAGTACATTCTGATCTTCCTGAAATTCTAGTTTGACTTCCACACACACAAAAAATAAATACAGATCAGCCAGTAAGTTATGGAGAAGCATCTAAACTTTACCATTTCTAACGTTTACTCGTCTCCAGAATTCACTCTAAATGGAAACATTTCCTTTATTTGTGAATATCCATCGATCTCATGAAGACCTCAGAGACAGGGGAAGCATAAATGAGAGAAAGCCTATATACCCTAAACCTTTGCATTATAACTGAACAGAAAGCTTTAGTAAAAATGTAGTCTCTCATCTGTGCAGTTCCATCAAAATCAAAATGCTGTGAAATCTTATTTCGCAAGAATTTTGTTTTGGAAGAAATCTGAGAAAGAAATTTGACATCCCATTTTGACATTATGTAAGTACAGTGTTTTGATTTCTCATTCTGAAATAACTTTTCATTTTCAAAAAATGGTCTTCTTTCATATTGCATATTTCACAATTTAAGAATTTGAAATAAAAAATTAACCATTTCAGTCTGCTAGTGCGTTTCTTTCTCCTTTTGAATATACAGTTATGAACAATTTCAAATTTTTTGTGCTGTGGTCCCATGTGAAAAAAAATTCTGGGGAAAAAAAAGGACCAGGAATTCCAGACATCATTTTACGTCTAGCCTTCTCTTGGCAGACCCAGCTTTTGATCTAGCCTATCTACCAGATCCAGTCTTCTCCACACGTACATCCCTTGTGTCAGGCTGCTAAAGTTAGTCTAGCTTTTCCGAGATACGGGAAACACCTGCTTTGATATTCCTGGCTCTTCTCCCTGCCAAAGCTGCTCCCACAGTGCATTCACCTCTTGGCTTACAAATACACAACAAACAAGAACTTTTCTCACCTGCAGTAAGAAAAAGGTCCCAAGCCTAGCAATATTGCTTTTTCGACACTGTCGACATGAAGCTCTTGGTAAAGTAAATCTGAATTCCAGGGCAAGCAGCTGTGTCCCGAAATTGTCGTCTTCGCGGTACCTCGGTAGTCTGTACCATTGCCAAGATAGCAGCGATGGCTAGGCACTGACAAAACATAGCGTACGGGTCAGGATCAGAACACATTACACGTTAAATAAATACTTATTTCATGTCTGAGGCCCCAAAAGAGAGTCAATGGGCCCAATTCTATAGTGCCTTTTGCCTTTCGCAGGAATTTGTTCCAGCAAATGAGAACTTAAAAAACAGTGAGTGGCAAAAACTGCTATTTAAAATGAATAGTGAGTTAGCCTCATTTTACACATACACCGATAACTATGCAACAGGCAATACGGCAGAAAATTAGTCCTAACATTTTTACTGTATATGGAAGATTTAGTCAGCAAGCTTGCACCAAAGTCAGCAATATGGTTGGGATTCATCTAGCCTAATTTTAGACACTTACAACTCAGCTCATAACTGGAGGCTCCCTTTTTAGTCAATTCAGAGAAACGGGCATTTCTAGAGCAAAACTGATCTAGCCTGTTTTAGGTGACATTTTTAAATGAGATGAATCTTGCCAAACACTCTTAACTGCACTGACTGGTTCTCCATTGACAATAAAGGGAGTTTAAGTCAGGCAGCTCACATAGAGATCTCTATGTTGCAAGGTAGCCAAAACAATCCTGCCCTGCCAGTGAATGCTTAAAAGGCATGAGTTTGGAAAAGACTTTTTTTAATAGCCTCAAACACACCTGTATATGTGTGTGTATGTGTACACACGTGCGCGCGCACACACACACACACACACACACACACACACATATTTTTAGGTACACATTTATACATATACATATTGCAAATACACCAGTTTCACAAAAGTTAAGCTAGTAGGTTGAATTCCCATATTCAAAACCTATTTCTTTGTTACCTGCACATGGGGTATTTCTTCAGATAGGTCTGACACATACACATTCTGCGACCTGTATACTCAGCTGCCAAGATCTATCAACAGCACATACCAGCATCATGGCTGAAAGGCATATGGGGATGCATTTGTATACAAATAGCTACCCTGAGCAGAAAGCCTACACCTCAAAACACAGCTCAGACTATCCCAAAGGAAACACAAAACCATCTAATGTACAAAGAGGATTAATTGTGACCAAGCTCCGGAGGGTTTCTTATCCCAGCCATGTCAGTCTGACTTATCCATGACATCTGCAAGACTGCTGGAATGTTCATTTAAACATATAAACATGCTTAAATATATAATACCGTAATACTGCTTAACTATTGAGAAAGAAACTGTGAGGATGATCTATCACAACCCACAACGTGGACAGCTATTGCCAAAGAGGTGTTTATTTTGACAGAATAAGGTGGCATGGGAAATGGGGCATATAATCAACACTGAATTACAGTAATAAACTGCTGGTGTTGATTATTCTCCTCAGTCATCGGTGTAGCAACAGAACTCAAAATTACAAGCAAACACATGGCATAAATTTGGGACCATGATGTCAAGGACATTGGTGTGGGAATTTAATGTGAGCTAGCAGACAAATACTTTGCCAACTTGTCTTCCTCGCTTGGCTTGGCAGACACTTCTGAGATGGTGCAACAGCATTTCCTGATCCCCCCCCTCCTTTAAATCAAATTCCTTTTATTTCAGCAAGGGTGAATATAATATTAAAAAAAAAAAAACATGTATTTTAACAACCATAATCTTAAAAGACTACATCAGAAAGAGCTGCCTTCCATTTATATCTCCAGTAATAGCAACCATTTCTTGGCAACATTGCCATTTATTTTCTGGGCAAGCAGCAAGTTAAAAGGCTCTGTTTGCCTGTCTGTTGCCATCATGCTGTATGCTAAATTCTTTCATTTATCCATGGAAGTACCAGGTGCTGTTTTTATTTGTGCTGTATTTATTACATTCCAAAACGATTTAGCTTGCCTACTTTTGGGAGGATGAAACAACAGATTCTGTTTCAAAACAGGATCAGGGCCATGTTCTGCAATACCAATGACTTGGACATCTTGCAGATGGTGTTTACAAATTGTGCTCAACCTTGTCAGCCTTAAAATCCAATGTACCTCTGGTTTTGCATGTTTGCCAGTCAGTGCTAAAGCTGCCAGGAGATTATAACTGGAAGAATTTGGCCCCCTTCTAAATCATCCCTCATGTTCCCCTGTAACGAAGAAGTTTGGCTCACATACTGAGCTTGCTGAGATCAACAGTAATAGCTCTCAAACAGTTTTTTGTTTGTTTTTGGTTTTCTAAGGAGTATTTTGGGAATAGAGTAGAGACTCTTCATCTCAAAACTTGTAGAGAAACATTCAGGTTAACACAGTCGTCAGCAGCTTTCCATCAGTCTGCTTTTCGCTCCAACAACCTTCATTTGACAAGCTTGCAGTAGCCCTACAGTATCCACATCACACCTCGTTAAAGGGCACCTCCTTATGCATCTAAAGCCAGCAAAAATTATACACAAAGCCTAATTCATATTATCTTCCGTAATTCAGGGACAAACGGTTCTTAAAAATAACTCTCTGGAACTTTTGCAGTTTTATAGCCCTTTTGCTTCTAATTAATAGTTTTTTATCAACTGTTGCAGCATTGAAAAATCTCCTTTCCCTCTTTGTCAGCAACAGTGTGTAGGTGGTCTGCTCTCAGCAGCTTTAAGGGATTGCTCTGACTGGGAACTGTTCTCTCTGAATTCTTTACAGCTCCTGCAGCTTCTCATAACTCTGCAATATATTTATTTTCTTATGTGGAAGAAAGTAATGGAAGGCAGAACATATGTAATCCTCTTGTTCATTCACTTCCCTTTGGTGCTGCCAATCAATGCCAGAGTGGAACCGGCCTAAAATTTCAGAGGGAACTTTGCTTTCCTAAAAACCTAGCTCCAAGTTACTCTGCAGACCTATGTCCATATCTTCTTTTTAGGTTAAAAAAAATTTTTTTTAATACAAAATAACTATTAAAATAACTAACTCCCTTTTATGCTTTGTTTTGAAAATCCCAGAGGTTTAAGTAACTGACATAAAACGTTCTCATTGTGTCGGGATGGCACATTTTGTTAGAATGTCACACCAAGTTTTTGTGTTTTACATTCTCAGTAAAAAGCAGTTTCAGATCTTAAACCAAATTAAAAGCAAATCAAAACAGAAGTTATCCAACCAATTCAAATTGCTAACTTCCTGAAAACATTTGACAAGATCCTTCTGTCTCCAGGTTGTGTCTCAAGTTCTGTAGTTACATACCTGAACATTTTTATGAGTATCTTCCGGAAGTTTTTCTGTAGAAAACAATGCATCTTGGGTTTTTTTTTTCCCCTTAAACATCTTGTCAGCCATTTTGCTAATGTTTTTGAGCCTTGACCGTATTTTTTGCCAGCCACATACATTCTATTTCATTCTGTTAATATATTTTTTTCCCTCTGATGGTGCTAATCCAGGGACAGGACAGTTTTAGGAAACCCTTACATTCAATAATGCTTTGTCTTAATCCTGCCCAACCTGTAATAATTTTATTAAATGCCTTGTTAGGTTAATTTCTAGTCTGCATTGTTCTGTAAGTTCTAATGGCAGGAAGGGGGAAGAGGACAAGAATAAAAGCCCTCGCTCTGCTTACAACTGCCCTTATAAGAGATCTTCCCCCGTGTCTTAATTACCAATTTTCCAGATGAAAAAGGTCTTTGGAAAATCATGAACTAAACTAAAGTCTTGGTGTAATTGGGAGGACATCCTCCATCCAAAATGTCCTTCAAGCACACATCCAGTTCGGTTTCGGAGCCCTTTACAGGGTGTAAGTTAATTTTCTTTCCTGGGTGAGCTCCGGCTCGGTTGGATGTTTGCAGAAGGGACAGTCTTTGCGTGATTCACCTACAAGTTGCCTGACGCCTTTCCTGGCAAACAGCTAGTAGCTGTGAGTTCACCTCGGGGATGAAAGCTGCGAAAGGCTTGGATTGCAGGAAGCTGCTGCTTACCTAGTTGCAAACACAACTAACCACTAGTCTGAACCGGCAAGAAATGTGTGACGGAAAGGAGTCTCCAGTATTCACAGAGATTGCTCTTACAGGTGTCTTGCTTCATTGTATAAAGCATTCAAAACCCCTCAGGTATTCTGAGAGCAGTAAGGCAGCAAGACAGTCCCATGTGAAATGCAAAAAAGCCATGCTGAGAGCTTTGAAAAACCTTCACGTTTACCTAGCACTGCTCTTAATCATCTTCCCAAAGCAAAATTTGGTTTACCTTCAGAATAAACTCTATAATTTTATCATTTGTTTGCAATATATTTTTATATATACATATTTGTATGTGTTTTTTTTCCAGTATTTCTGTTTGGGCTTATGATTTAATGTAACAGCAAATAATGCACATAACTAATTTCTAACAAATAGCTAATTCATATTATGTGCTGCTTTCCAGTTTGTTGAATAGCAACAAAAGCTCCAGGCTGACAGCACCTAACACTGAAATAAATCCCCACTGGAACTGTAGCCTGATTATGAAACACACAAACAATCTGCCTGAGCCAAAAACTATGCAGAAATACTGGAAAAATTGACGTTCCTTTGTAGTGAATTAAATCTAGTAGAAACTTAACATGTAAAACAAGAATTGGTTTAGTCCTGGGAAAACAAAGGGATTTGTAAAGCATAAAAGATCTCTTAAAGTTGCGTCATAACTCCAGGAGACTGCAGACTCCATTCACTGCAGCTAGGCTTACTAACGTATTTCTCCTACAAAGTATCTTCATATCGTTGCGCTTGCAAATGCTTACAAGATCAACTGAGCTAAAATTGAAGAGAGTTCTGTTCGTCTTAAAAGCTAGTCTACAAATCTACTTTCTCCTTTCTTAGTAAGCTGAATCCTTTCACATAAAGATTTAAGTTCAGAAATCTATAAACTCTCCTAGTATTCTATTACAGCTTGGAAGGGTAATAACCTAAATAACAGGAAGGACTGGGGTTTTTTTTCAATTTCATTTTTCTAGTGATAATTTTAAATTCTAGCACAACAGTTATGATTTACAGGGCGATCAATGCAATCAAATATCCAGGTATACAGATTTAAAAGGAGCAACATCTTCAGGAAAT